ATTGATTCTAGTTTCAAATAGTCGTAAATAATTAATTCCAACGGTTCAAGTCATCTAACAATGTGAGTTTAATCTAGTTATATGATAATTAGTTTCTTTTGAACATATTATTTGTCGATTCCGTAGTTTATTTATAATTTCAATTTTAGTAATATTCCTTTTCGTTAACATTTGTCTTAATCTAGCATTTAATATGTTACGCCCTTTTTTTTAAGCATGTAACTAATTAGGATTTTTTCTCTTTTTTTAGAAACGAATTTAATAGAAATGTAGTCACTTTATGATATCCTTAAAATAAATGTGGCGAGCCTCGCCAAACAAAGACGCACAAACTGCGGGGCCCTCAATAGATGTTAATAATTACTTATATTTCGGGAGTGGTCATTTAGCGAACATCACGGCTTTCCCCAAAGATAATAACGCGTTAGACTCTTTAGACGCGATTTTGATTAAATTACATGCTTAAATTCGGGTGCGCATTTATGTGACCCAAATCCAAATCTCAACGGNTGCCTAACACCTTCCCTCGGGTCAACAGAATTCCTTACTTAGAATTTCTGGTTCGCAGACTTCATTTGGAAAGTCGAATATTTTCCTCGAATTGGGATTCAAGATAAACCGGTGACTTGGGACACTAAAAGCCAAATCTTTCCCAAGTGGCGACTCTGAATTAAATAAATAATCACATTTCGAATATTGTCACTTAAATTGGAAAAATTTCCTCACGCATTTATCCTTCGGGGTAGGCGCGCAAAAAGGAGGTGTGACACTACTTTCACCAATTTTAGATTTACCCTTACAACTAATATTTTTCAAAGAAAATGCCATATTAATTATAATTATACTAAATAAAACTAGCAAAACTATAATATTAAAACTTAAGAAATGGAACGCATTTACCGAATTGCCGAACAACTTCTTGAAAATTGAAAATCGTTGAAGACTTGAATACTTCAATTCACCAACTTCACAATTTTTCACGAAATTTCAACAATAAAATAAGCAATTATAGTAGAGAGATTGAGAGAGATTGATGAATTGGTGAGTAAAAATGAAAGAATGAGGGGGTATTTATAGTTGAGAATTAGGAAAAAGTGTAATTATATAAAGTTTGGGAGCCAAATGACTATTTTCTAAACAACCAAACGGTCAAAATTGCAGCCCAAACGGCTACGTTTTAAATTTTGACCGTTGGAATTTTTATTTTTTTTTAATAAAAACTAGTCGTTAGGCCCCGCCCAGGCCCGCCAGCCGGTCCCAGGCTTAGCGGTCCCGGGCTCGTGTGCTTTCTAGGAAGACTGGCCCGCCACGGGCTTTAAATACCCGTTAAGACCGGCCCACGAGAACCGACCCACCAGGCCCGTTGGGACCGCAGGCCCAGTCCGGTCCGGTTCAGGCCCGACCCACAGTACACCATTAAACTCAATTACTCTTTGAAAGTGAGGTAGTTTAGCACTTAATGGGCTCATATATATATATATAAAGCTGGGTCTAAGAGAGGCTTATGTGGCACCTCTCTCAGCATTGACATTTATCTTTATTGTCATTTTTTTGACATTTTTCCTTTTAAAACTGATGAAAAAAAAGTTTTCCAATAAAGAAAACTCAACAGTCGCTTATTTTCCCTATAAAAGAAACGATCGCTTCTTTTAATGCTCTTAAACAGTTCCTCTCTTAATTCTTATCGCAAATCTTCTCTTCCTTATAGGGTCTTCTTCTTCTCCTCTTCTTCCTCCCCTTGCCCAAGGTAAAATTCTTTCTTTGCTCTTCAGTATTTTAATTTTTCCCTTCAGTTTCTGTTTCTCTTATTTCTACTACTGCTAGAGGTAAATCACTTCTCTTTGATTTTGTGATTTGATTATCTCTTCCTTATTTTTGAGATTTTTTTGGTTGGTATTCCTTGTATCACTGTATCCAATATTCTAGGATTTTGTTTATGTTCCCTTCTGATTGTTCTTTGCGATAAACTTTTATTTCTTAAATAGTTTTACTATATATCTTTTTCTTTAAACTGTATGGGGTGAAATATGACTAAGTTCTTTTTTAAAATTTTTTGTAGCTTCTAAGAGTTCTCGACTATATATCTAATCTTCTAATCCTTATTATGGCTATGTCATGATTGGCTTTGGAGATATTCTCTTTCCAGGTTTGCGATTTTATCTGAATTCAATAAAAGAGTGACCTTTGGTTGGTGCAATTACTGTTTCATATCTCTGTGTATATGATTTTTTTTTTACATTCTTTAAGTAAGAACATAATTGCAAAGTATTAAATTTGAGTCTCTTATAATAGAAATAAATATACTTATATACATATATTTAATGCACAAAAGGAAAAATCATTTTATAATATCTGTCAAAGATATATCCACATAAACAAATCATTTTTTCTTAAATTTGTTTTATTGATTCAAGAATTGAGCAAGAGCTCTAGAGATTTCAGTTTACCTTTGTAAAATTTAATGAATTACATGGATGTAGACAGCTTCGATGAAATTATTATAGGTAAAAGGTCACATGTTTAATATAAAGAATAATATGAATATAAAGCTTGAAATAATTTCCACTAGCTTTTACTTGAATTCAAGAAGCACCTAAGACCTGTCAAATTGAAGCTTGAAAATATAATGTATTAGTTCTTTTTCTTTATTTGACTCAAAAAATGCTAGGAAATCGTATAACTTGTCAGATGAATTAAGCTTCTATTTAAAGTTTATTATCTTTTGTCTATGTAATTAATGATTCCTTTTGTTATAAGGGAGAGATAATTTGTAGTACATGAAAATAGTTTTTGACATAAAGATTGAAATAGGGCACTTATCATATAACACTAAAAAAATTCTTTCATGATACATCTTAATCTTGGTTATTTAGTTACTAAAAGTCATGCTAACTTTAGTAATCAAAGACTGGGCAGAATTATATTGTTGAATTGATGAGAGAATTGCTTTATGTTGTGCTAATGGCATTCCTTCTGCACCTACAAAAATTTCAATAATGCAGGTTCTTTTTTTTTCTTGTGAGCGTTTGTTTGATATTGTCACTACTAAAAATCAGGTGATTTTCGACCGAAATTTTCGACCGTTTTTAATTGGACGGAAAAACAATGATCGCAAACGTAGACCGACCACAATTGGTTGCAAATTTCCGATCGAAATCGGTCGGAAAATATTGGTCGAAAATTTCCGACCGCAATCGGTCGATAAAATCCAATGCACTGACTGTCAGTCAAACTTTATTTTTTGACCCAAATCGGTCGGAAATTATTAAATATTTTTTTTTTAATTTTTAAATTTCCAACCAAAATCGATCAGAAAATATTATTATTTATTTATTTTTAATTTTAGTTTTCCGACCGAATTCGGTCAAAACTCTTAAAAAATAATAATATTATTTAATTAAATAATTATTTGTAAATTGTTGATTTATTTAAAAAATAAATATAAATTTATAATTTTCGACCGAATTCGATCGGAAATTTCAATAATCTGGGGAATTTATTTGAAATTTCCGACCGAATTTGTTCGGAAATTATGAATTTCTGGGCAAAACAAATTAATTTCCGACCGAATTCGATCGGAAATCTGGGTAAAAACTGGGCAGAAAATGGCCGCTTTTAAGCTACACTACCTACCAATTTAAACCAATATACATCTTATAATGGCAGCTTACATTGCTACCATTCAACCATGAAAACTCAACAAAATAACAACTAATAACCACCAACAACAACAATTAACCAACAAATAATAACCACAACCACAATAACTAATAACCACAACAACAACAACTACTAAAGTGTTCAATAACAATATAATCATCATTCAAATAACCAACAACAAAATATTGACAAGTTCGCATTTTTGTTTAACAATACACAACATTCAATGAGTTTTTTATGTAGCATCATCTTCATCTTCGGTCCTAGGACCTTCATCGCAGGCAGGTGGGGGAAGGAGGAGGAGACCGGGGAATGGGGAAAGCACCACAAGCAAGAAGATTGGCAAGCTGACCTTGAAGGAGATCAAATTGTTTGTCCCTCCTTTCTAGCTCACCTTGAAGGGTATCAAAATTCTTCTTTTCTCTAGCCTTGGTCTCTTCAAGCTCTACTGTCAGTTTTGCGATCTTCTTTTCCATAGACGATATAGCTGAACTATCAATCGCCTCTCCTTGGGCGGAAGTCCCTATACCTTGCAATCCAGCCATGTAGCACCGAAACGATTTATCTAAAAGGCCGTATGTTATCCCCTTTTTAGGACCACCGACAATACTCAACCATATCCCCTTCTCTTCTTCGTCTGAAATGGGCGGTCGCTCGCCTTGCTCATTCAGTGGCAATCTCTGAGTATACCCCTCCAAATTGATCTTGTAGCGACTTTTTATTTAGAAGATAAAAAAATACTAACTATATAATATTAGAAATATTTATAGTAGTTATGAAACGTACATGTGTAGTCTCTGCTCGATCCTAGACCCATCTAGTTGGATCTGTCGGTGCCTTTTTCTTCCGGATGTGAGTCCCATGAAGAACTCATCATGACTCATCTTCCTCCCCAATTTTTTTCCTACAAATATAATAAACGTGTTAATGAAAGCTGTAGCTATACTCGCATTTTATTGTAAAAGCAGAGTGCAATTTAAGAGATAGGAATTTTAAGTAACTAGATCCTTGAGAGAAACATAGAATAAAAAATACAACATGAAGCTGGGATTATATGGAGTCCACTTGAGCTTCACTGAAAAAAAACTTTGGTTTTTGATAGCCTAGAGCTGGTTAGTCTATATAATGTTTGGCCATACAACTCCAAGGTTGTGTTCTAGTTCCAATATTCTCTAATTAGTTTGTGTTGTATGTTAACCATTACTATGTTCTTTTCCCTTCTAAAATTGTGGTCTTCATAATTTTCTTCAAGATTTTAGATTTTTGTTGTAACAACCCGATCGGTCGTTTTGAACTTTTGCACTTTGATTGCCAATTTTCGGGCATGACTTGCCTCATGTGATGTATTATGACTTATGTAAATCATTGGTTTTGGTTTTCAGGGTAATCAGAATGAATTTGGAAGAAAACAGTTCTCAGTTGAATCTTGAAATTCGAAAGGTTTGACCAAGATTTGGCTTGTTTGTATATGATCTCGGATCGGAATTTTTATGGTTGGGTTAGCTCCGTTAGGTGATTTGGGACTTAGGAGCGTGATCAGAATGCATTTTGTAGGTCCGTGGAAGGTTTAGGCTTGAATTGGCGAAATTGAGATTTCAGCGTTTTCCGATTGATAGGCGACATTTTGATATTAGGATAGGAATGAAATTCCGAGAGTTGCAATAGCTTCGTTGTGTCATTTGGGATGTGTGTGCAAAATTTCAGATCGTTCGTACGAGATTTGATAGACTTTTTGATGGAAAGCATAATTTAAGAGTTCTTGAAATTTTTAGGCTTGAATCCTATGTTAAATTGGTGATTTGATGTTGTTGTGAACGTTCCAAAGTTCTGAACAAGTTTGAACGATGTCATGGGATGTGTTGGTATAATTAGTTTGAAGTTCCGGGGGTTCCGGGATGTTTTAGGCCGGAAATCATAGTTGTAGCAGGTTCAGAGGGTTGCAGGCCTTGAAACCCACCAGCGCGGTCCGCACAAAAAGAATTGCGTCCGCGGTAGGTGCTGTGCGGACTGCACAAAATGTAGTGCGGCCGCGGTGGGCAACATTTCACTGGTTCTACTTCGGAAGCTCATATCTTTTGATCTATAAGGAATTTTGAGATAATTCAAAAATGAAAGTTTTAGTCCTTTGTGTCTTGTTTCCAGAAAGGTAAAGATATTGCAATTTGGGCATTTGTAGCGAAAGTTATGGCCAAATACTAAAGCCTATCACTGCAGATGAAAATCTGTGCGGTCGCAGTCGTTTTTGTGCGGACTACGCTGGTTTTGTGCGGACCGCGGTCATTTTTATGTGGTCCGCAGATGTGACGATCTGGCCAATCGTCTCATGAGTTACCGCTCCGTTTTCCCCATTTTAGCTTCTTTATGCTTCGTTATTCGTGTTTTTGTGGTGTTAGGTTGGTTGAATCGAGTCGGGAATGAGTTTGGTGAAGTTTGATACACTTAGCCTCTTTTAAGAAGGCTTAAGTTGGAAAAGTCAACCGGATGTTGACTTATGTGTTAGAAGGCTTGGAAGTGAGTTCTGATGATTCGGTTAGCTTCGGGAGGTGATTTGTGACTTAGGAGCACGATCGGAATGAGTTTTGGAGTTGTAGAGAAGATTTAGGCTTAAATTGGCGAAGTGATATTTTGGCGGTTCCGGTTGATAGGCAAGACTTTGATATAGGGGTCGGAATGGAATTTCAAGAGTGACAGTAGCTTCGTTGTGTCATTTGGGACGTGTGTGCAAAATTTTAGGTCATTCGGACGAGATTTGATAGACTTTTTGATCGAATGCATAATTTAAGAGTTCTTGGAGTTCTTACGCTTGAATCCTATGTTAAATTGGTGATTTATGTTGTTGTGAGCGTTCCGAGGTTTTGAACAAGTTTGAACAATGTCATGAGATGTGTTGGTATAATTGGTTTGAAGTTTCGGGAGTTCCGGGATGTTTTAGGTCGAAAATCATAGCTGTAGCAGGTCCAGAAGGGTTGCAGGCCTCAGAACCCACTCGCGCGGTCCGCACAAAAAGAAGTGTGGATGCGGTATGTGCTGTGCGGACCACACAAAATGAAGTGAGGCTGTGGTAGGTGTTGTGCGGACCGCACAAAATGCTGTGCGGCCGCGGTGGGGAAACATTTCACTGGTCCTACTTCGGAAGATCATATCTTTTGATCCACAAAACATTTTGAGATGATTCAAAAACAAAGGTTGTAGCCCTTCGAGTCTAGTTTCTAGAAAGGTAAAGATATAGAAATTTTGACATCTGTAGAGAAAGGCATGGCCAAAATACTAAAGCCTGTCACTGCAGAGGAAAGCTGGTGCGGCCGCGGTCGTTTTTGTGCAGACCGCAGTCGATTTTGTGCGGTCAGCGGAGATGAAAATCTGTGGGGTACTCTCTATAAATATGAGGTTTTGGGTTTTTATTTGATATTTTGACCTAGAGAGCTCGAACTTTGGTGATATTTCGAAGGTTTTTCAAGAAATTAATCGGGGTAAGTGATTCTAACTCATATTTGGCTAGAGTACATGAATCTATCATTGAATTCATCGTTTAATTCGTGATTTGGGATGAAATTTGGGAAAAAAATTGTGAAACCTTTCAAATATAAAATGATGATTTGAAGGATCAAATGGTATCGGAATTGGATAATTTTGGTATGGTTAGACTCGTGAGGGTACGAGGATTCTGAAAATGTAAATTTTACCCGATTCCGAGACATGGGCCTGGGGCTCGGGTTTTTTGATATTTTTCGAATGTTTTCGCTTGGGCTTTGTTCCCTTAGCATATTGTGACGTATTCGTTCTAATTTTGGATAGATTCGACACGCGTGGAGGCCGATTCGAGGGGCAAAGGCTTCGCGAGTTAGAGATTTAGCCGGTTCGAGGTGAGTAATAATTTTAAATGATGCTCTGAGGATTTGAAACCCCGGATTGCACATCGTAGTGCTATATTGAGGTGAGGCACACGCTTGATGACGAGCGTGGGGTCGTGTACTATTGAGGATTGTGACTTGGTCCGGCCCGATTGATGATTTTACCGCGCATTTGACTGAAACTTATATGTTATCATAATGATTTGGGCTGATTGCCATATTTGGGCTTCGTGCCAGCTATCTGAACCCTTCAGGGATTTTTATTACTATTTTCTCACTGTTTTGACTTACTAATTGAACTCAGTCATGTTATTTTCCACTGTTTTACTACTCAGCCATTTTTACTCCGTTTTTGAGACTTAAAAGATATTGTAAATGATTTTTGGGGCTGAGAAATACTATTTTACTAATGCTCGAGGGGTTTGTGAGTATTTTTGACTGAGTAAGGTCGAGGGCTTAGTTGTGAGGAAACACTGATACTGATTTGAGGCCGAGGGCCTGAGATATGTACGCCACTAACTGGCTTGATTGATATGAGGCAGAGGGCCTAGATTTGATGCCACGAGATGGCTTGATATTGCGCTTGGGCCGTAAGGGGCCCCTCCCGGAGTCTGCACACTGAGTGATGGTACCCATTGTGATGTGAGATTGAGCCCGAGGGGCAAAAATGTTGATACTGTGCCCGAGGGGCAAACTTCTATGTGTTTACTTTATCTTAACTGTCTGTCAATTACCTGTTTATTTGTTGTAGAAGTACTTTATTTTGTTTTTTATAGGTTTACTGCTTACAAATTACTTATTTGACTGCTTCATTATAGAATACCTTGTGTATACGTGATTTCTTACTTTCAGTCATTATTTATATTTATTACTCACTAGGTCGGAGTACTCACATTGCTCCCTGCAGCTTGCATGCAGATCCAGGTGCCTCAGAGGCCGAGTGCGAGCTTTTCAGTCGTTCAGCAATTGCCGGGGATTTCGAGGTAGCTGCATGGCGTTCGCAGTCCTGATTTCTCCCTTCTATCTTATTACTTTTCCGCATTCCTAGACTATCTATGTAGTAGGTTGTTCAGACTTGTATTAGAGGCTCTAGACTTGCGACACCAGATCAGTGTGGGCCGTGTAGTTTCTATGTCTTGTTGACTTCCGCGTATCTATCTTGCTATTTTAAAACACTTATTATGATAATTGGTAATTAAACCGTGTTAGCAAATGATTTATTTAAAACTGAAAATGGGTTGTGGTTCATGATTGGTCCGGCTTGCCTAGTAATGTGATAGGCGCCATCACGACCGGTATTTGGGGTCGTGACAGCAGAGGTGGAAATCTGTGGGTACTCTATAAATACGAGGTTTTGAGTTTTATTTAATATTTTGACCTAGAGAGCTCGGATTTTGGCGATATTTTGAAGGTTTTTTAAGAAATTCATCGGGTAAGTGATTGTAACTCAGATTTGGCTAAAGTACATGAGTCTATCATTGAATTCATCATTTAATTCGTGATTTGGGAAGAAAATTTGTGGAATCTTCCAAAAATATAAAATGATGATTTGAAGGACCAAATGATACCAGAATTGGATAATTTTGGTATGGTTAGACTCGTGAGGGTATGAGGATTTTGAAAATACAAATTTTACTCGATTTCGAGACGTGGGCCTGGGGCTCAGGTTTTGGTAATTTCGGGAATTGTGTCATATTTTGATTGTTTTCACTTGGGCTTTGTTCCCTTAGCATATTTTGACGCCCACGTTCTGATGTTGGATAGATTCGACGCACATGGAGGAAGATTCGAGGTGCAAAGGTGTCGCGAGCTAGAGATTTAGCCGGTTCAAGGTAAGTAATGATTGTAAATGATGCTCTGAGGGTTCGAAACCCTGGATTGCACATCGTAATGTTATATTGAGGTGAGGCACACACTTGATGATGAGTGTGGGGTCGTGTACTATTGGGGATTATGACTTGGTCTGTCTCGATTTATGATTTTACCGCGTATTTGATTTAAAACTATTTGCTACCATTATTATTTGGGCTGAATGTCATATTTGGGCCTAGTTCCAGCTATTTGAACCCATCGGGGATTTTTTTGTTGATATTTCCTCACTGTTTTGATTTTATACTTGAACTCAGTCATGTTACTTTCCACTATTTTCAAAACTCAGCCAAGTTTATTTTGCTTTAACACTTGAAATGATATTTCAAATAACATTTTGGGCTGAGCATCATGTTTTACTGTTACCCGAGTGGGTAAGGTGATTTTTGACTGAGTAAGGTCGAGGGCCTATATTGTGAGAATACTTTTGGGTCGGGCTGCACGCCGCAACAGTGAGATACTGATTTGATTATGAGGCCGAGGGCCTAAGATATGTACGCCACGAGGTGGCTTGTTGATATTGATATGAGGCCGAGAGCCTGTTTATGATGCCACGAGATGACTTGATATTGCGCTTGGGCCGTAAGGGGCCCCTCCCGGAGTCTGTACACCCCCAGTGAGCGCGGGTACCCATTGTGATGTGAGATATAGCCCGAAGGGCTGATATTGTTCTATGTGATAGCCCGATGGGCTGGTATTGTTCTATGTGATCGCCCGAGAGGCTGGTATTGTTCTTTGTGATTGCTCGAGGGGCTGGTATCATTCTATGTGATTGCCCGAGGGGCTGATATTGTTCTGAGATATTGCCCGAGGGGCAGAGTTGTTGACATTGTGCCCGAGGGGCGAACCTTTATGTGTTTGTCTTTCTTATTTACTTGTCATTTACCTGTTAAACTATGGTATTTGTGCTCAAGGGGAGGATTTTTGTGCTTATCTGCACTACCTATTTTGCATTCATTTGCGTAACTGTTGAAAAAGTCGTTTTCAAAGAAGTTTAAACTGAGCTAAGATGTTTAAATGATTTTTATAGTTTCACCGCTTTCTTACTGGTTTTGAATTGCTTCTATACAACATCTTGATATGCTTTACGCGATTTCTTACCATTCAGACTTTAGTTAATGATATTTACTCGCTGAGCTGGAGTACTCACTTTACTCCCTACACCTTGTGTGCAGATTCAGGTATTTATACACCCGGTAGCGGAATTTGGCTGATCAGAGGCAGCGTCATCGGAGTTTAGCAAGGTAGCTGCTAGCGTTCGTAGCACTGCTTCTCTCTCTCTCTCTTCATTCATTAGTCTGTATTTGTGCACTCAGACTTTCAGTTGTATTTATACCCTAGTAGATGCTCGTGACTTGTGACACTCCGGTTAGGGCTGTGTTGGGTTGTACTTCCGCACTTTATTATTATTCACTACTTAGTATTGCTATATCATGTTTCAGACCGCTTTTATGTTATTTAACTGTTTAAAAAGTGAATTGGGTTTAATTGGCTGACCTTGTCTTCACGAGAGGCGCCATCACGACTGGGTCTGGGTTTGGGTCGTGACATTTGTGCTGCTGAATACAGATTCCTATCAACATGAATTTGCTCATTTAAAATAAACAACATATTAAAATATGATTCTTCAACAAATTTGGAACCAAGGTTTCTCAAATTGAAAGAGAGATTTTTCATGAACATCAGCGCTTATAAACATGAAAAATACATCAAATAGAAATCTAATAATAGATAAAGCAACATCTTAAACCTAATTAAAACAAATTTCATGTTTTTAGTGTACTGTCAAGAAACCAACACTTCGTAAATTAAGTGTCACGACCCAATTCCCCGAATCTGGTCGTGATGGCGCCTCTCGTGAAGATAAGGCCAGCCAGACCAAAACAGACCATCTTTTTTAAACAGTTAAATACCATAAGTAGTCCTAAAACATGATATAATAACCGTAATTTGCGGAATTAACGATAACAACAGTAGAAATCATCCCGACATGGCCCAAACCGGGGTGTCACAAGTCATGAGCGACTAGGAAATCCGGATACAAGTCTACTGAACACTAAATCCGACACAATATTTATAAAAACATGAAAATGATAAGATAAGGGAGGCACGGGGCTGCGAACGCCAACAACTACCTCGTAGTCTTCGAATCACTGCCTGGACTAGGAGAATCAACACTCAAGAGCGGACTCTGCGATGCCTGAATCTGCACACATGGTGCAGGGAGTAATTTAAGCACTCTGATTCAGTGAGTAACAATTATATATAATGGCTGAAAGTCTGAAAACACATAAAGGCACAAAGCAATTCTATATCAAGCAGTAAAATAACTTAAAGCAGTAAATCAGTGAAGAAATCAAATGATATCCCTTTTTAAAACAAGTAAAATAGGTAAATACAAGTAGAAATCTTCCCCTCGGGCACAATATCAATCGCTCAGAATAGTATCAGCCCCTCGGGCTCACTCTCAGTACAGTATCAGCCCCTTGGGCTCAGAATCAATCACTCAGAACAGTATCAGCCCCTCGGTCTCACTCTCAGATCATAATGGGTACCCGCACTCACTGTGGGTGTGCAGGCTCCGGAGGGGCCCCTTATGGCCCAAGAGCTATATCAAGCCACATCGTGGCATCATTACTCGGCATCAGCCTCACATCACTCGACACTCGGCCTCACATCACTCAAGCCACCTCGTGGCACATAAAGTATTACAGGCCCTCAGCCTCATATCACTCAGCATATCCTCACATATGGCCCTCGGCCTCACTCAGTACAAAAATCATCACAAGCCCCTTGGGCATTAGTAAAACAGTAGTTCTTAGCCCAAAACATGATGTAGAAATATCATTTAAGTTTCAAATCTGAGTAAAAGTGGCTGAGTGTGTAAAACAATAGATATCAACACGACTGAGTTCAAATAATAAGTCAAGCAGTGAGGAAACAGTGATAAAAATCCCCGAAGGGTCCAAATAGTTAGCACGAAGCCCAAATATGGCAATCAGCCTAAATCATGATGATAACAAATAAATTCCAGTCAAATACGCGGTAAAATCATCAATCGGGACGGACCAAGTCACAATACCATGTAGTAAAAGACCCCACGCTCATCATCCAGTGCGTGTCTCACCTCAATATGGCACTACAATGTGCAATCCGGGGTTCCAAACCCTCAGGACATCATTTGCAATCATTACTCACTTCGAACCGGCTAATTCTCTAGCTCGCGACGCCTTTACCCCTAGAATTGGCCTCCACGCGCGTTGAATCTATCCAAAATCAGAACGAATACGTCACAATATGCTAAGGGAACAAAGCCCAAGAAAAAAACATTCAAAAATATCAAAAATCCCGAAATTAGCAAAACCCGAGCCCCGGGCCCACATCTTGGATCGGGTTAAATTTACATTTTCAGAATCCGTATACCATTACGAGTCTAACCATACCAAAATTATCCAATTCCGATAACATTTGGTCCTTCAAATCATCATTTTATATTTTGAAAGGTTTCACAATTTTCTTCCCAAATTCCATCCCAAATCATGAATTAAATGATGAATTCAATGATAGATTCATGTACTCTAGCCAAATCTGAGTTAGAATCACTTACCCCGATGAATTTCTTGAAAAACCTTCAAATATTCGCCAAAATCCGAGCTCTCTAGGTCAAAATATTAAATAAAACCCAAAACCTCGTATTTATAGAGTACCCCTCAGATCTCAGCCTCTGCGGGCCGCACCAAATCGACCGCGGTCCGCGCAAAAACAACCGCGGTTCCTCTACAGTAATAGGCTTTAGTATTTTGGCCATAACCTTTTCTACAGATGTCCAAATTGCAATATCTTTATCTTTCTGGAAACTAAAAACGAAGGTCTACAACTTTCATTTTTATATCATCCCGAAATTCCTTGTAGATCAAAAGATATGAGCTTCTGAAGTAGGACCAGCGAATCGTTCCTCACCGCGGCCACACACCATTTTGTGCGGTCCGCATGACACCTACCGCGGCTGCACTTCTTTTTGTGTGGTCCGCAAGGCACATACCGTAGCCGCACTTCTTTTTGTGCGGACCAAGTGGGTGGTTTCCGAGGCCTGCAACCCTCCTGGACCTGCTACAGCTATGATTTTCGACCTAAAACATCCTGGACCCTACCCGGGACCCCCGAAACTTCAAACTAATTGTATCAACGCCTCCCATGACATCGTTCAAACTTGTTCAACACTTCAGAATGCTTACAACAACATCAAATCACCAATTTAACATAGGATTCAAGCCTAAGAACTCCAAGAACTTTTAAATTATGCTTTCGCTCAAAAAGTCTATCAAATCTCGTCCGAATGACTTG